GGTTAAGCTGACCATACCATAAAATAATTTCTCGTTCAATACGCTTATTGAAAAAAGATATTGAAAGAAATTAACAATGTTCAAGGTCCAGTGCATGAACATTAAAGTAATATCACAGCAGGCAAGGACACATGAGGAAATATATCATTTCTCATAGCAGGAGGCTGCAGGAGACCTCATATGTAATAACTGTAGAGGGTCTTCCAGAGACATTGAACATTAAATGAGCAACAACCAAAAATACAAATAGTAGGACTGCAGCCCAAGAGCATTATAGCTCCACACTACATCAAAGCACTGGATAACGCAAGTGACTATTCTGAAATAAGACCCATAGTGGGAACAAAAAGGGATATGGGAAAAGAGAAGGAGAAGGAAGAAATACAGGGGGGTGGGGGAAATAATAGGGATGGAGTCCTAGGATACTCGTAGAGATGGCATAGGTAACTCGAAGGATGGGCCTAGTTAAATGTGCATAAATTTAGCTCTAGACCTTAAGAGAATCTCACATGAATATTCATATACAAATTTTACTATGGTTGAAAACCAGCGTCCATTTGACCCCACTTGACCCCACTAACCTTTAGGGCTCGTTCACACTAGGCTGTTTTGCCAACGCTTGCCAAACGCCCCTATAGCTTTTGGCAAGCGTTGGTCCGGCGTTTGCGGAGCGTTATTAACGCTCGGCAAACGCTCCGCAAACGCCGCATGCGCGGTTTAGCGGCGGTTGCTAGGCGTTTGCCAAGCGTTAATAACGCCCCACAAACGCCTATAATGCAGTTTGAGTGGTGTTACCCGCTCCGCAAACGCCCCGCAACCGCGTCGCAACCGCACAGCAAACGCCGGTCGGGCGTTTGCGGAGCGGCACCATAGACGAGAATAGGAGGCTTCAAAGCCTCCTGACTCGTCCAGAGGCGTCCGTTTTGCCGCGACGCAACGCGACGCGACGCAAACGCTCCCGTTAGAACAGCACCATGTGCTGTAATGTGCAGAATTGGCAGAGGCGTTTGGGAAGCGGTAAAAACGCTTCCCAAACGCCTCTCTGCTGCCGCCTGCACACAAGGCTAGTGTGAACGTAGCCTTAGAACTTCAAATGAACATTCCAAAAGCTACATTTTTTTATGAGCTTCTACTGGTGCAAGGCCAGCTTAAAACTTCATATCAAGTTGTACAATCAGAATGTGAAGTGTTTAAAATGTCATAAACAAGTGCAATGCAATTGACTACAGTATGTTCTAGCTGTACTCACTCAAAGGAAGTAATCAGATTTCACTTTTCAGTGGTCAGAGCCAGGGTCACCATTAAAAATCAAGTGGCCCTCTACAGTCTACCTAACAGGGTTTCCTTGAGCACCTAGAGGACAATAGCAAGACAGCACAAGCCTGCAGTGGTGAATTATGATTGTGGCAAAATTGCCCTAACAGTGTGAGGGACTAAACAAAATGAGCCTACATACAGAGTGCAGGGGTCAGTAGCATGCAATATATAGAGTGCAGGGGTCAGGAGTATGTAATGAACAGAGAGTAGGTGTCAGGAGTATGTAATTTACAGAGTGCAGGGGTCAGGAGCAGTGATGTATTTAGGTTTTGTGTTACCCTAGGCAACAAAAAAATAATCTCCCCCCCCCCCCCCCGCGGAGAGAGCCTGACACCGACCAACACCACTTCCCCCCAGCTGAAAGAGATTTCCATGATCAATGTCCCCAATACACCCGCCACCCCCCCCCCCCCCCTGGCAAAAGAGAGAAAGACAATCACCTTCACAGTTCCAGGCATCCCCAGGAACGAGAGTCAGGCTCTGCATAGACCGTCAAACAGCCTGCGGCATCTCTAGGATCCCACCTGGTCCCCAAGCCGCGTGTGTCCCTTCTTCTGGGGGGGGGGGTGGCACCACCCCTGTAAAATGCCACCCTAGGTAAACGAATTGTTTGTCTCGTAGTAGATATGCCCATGGTCAGGAGTATGTCATACAGAAAGTGCAGCAGTCAGGAGTATATAATTTTACAGAGTGCATGGAGTCAGGAGTATGTAATGTACAGAGTGCAGGGACTAGGAGTATGTAACGAAGAGAGTGCAGGTGTCAGGATGATGTCATTTACAGAGTGCCCTGAGTTAGGAGTATGCAATTTACAGAGTGCTTGGGTCAGGAGTATGTGATGAACAGAGTGCAGGAATCAGGTTTATGTAAGAAACAGTGTGCAGGGGTCAGGAGTATGCAATGTACACAGAGCAGGGGTCAGGAGTATGTAACATACAGAGTGCAGGGGTCAGGAGTGACTGTGGTGAGGCAAGTCACCTAATATTACTTTGCCTGCTCCTGATAGAAGCAACAACCTGTATTAATACTCTGTCTGAGCCCCACAAAAATTAAAAGTCCCCTCTGCCCTCCACAGCAATAACGGAGTCTGGGCCTGATACAGGAGAGCTGTCTGTACCCCATTATCTGGGGCCCTGGTCAGAGCAGTAAAGGAATGACCATAATAGAAAATGCTGCTAAATTATTTTTTTTTATCTTCAATGCAGCCACTATCACAGTTCACAAACAGAAAAAAAAAAAAGTTTTGCACACAACCTGATATTATATATATTCCAGCCCGAGTTCTCCTTTAACACATTTAATCTATCATCGTTGTTTTTTTTTTTCACCGAACTGGAATGGTAAATTTTAGTCACTGTGTATTTTAGGTATTCAATGTTATGTGATGACCTTCTTGTCAAGTTCAGTCCTACAACACCTGTTACAATCGCTACAGGCTCCGTGCACATGTGACACCATATTGAGAATCTTCACTTCATTTCACACAACTCGGGAAGGTACACCATATTTATTAGCATAAAAATTCAACGTTCAGTGAAAATGTTTGTGTGTTTTTTTTTTTTTAGTCTTTGGAGGACAGAGAGCGTACCAAAGAACATAGAAAAAAAGTATTGACTTTTTTTTTAACAGAACGCCGCACTGAGGAAATGATACCATTGGAAAAGTCCTTCAGATACAGTATAACCATTGAGGTTATGATGGGAAAGGTCTAAAACAATCCCCAAATGCATCTGTGCAAGAGCTTTTTTGATTCCTTAAAGTAGCATTAAACCTAAAAATAAGATTGTCATATATTGCCATTTAACAATTCTTAAATGTGATGACTGCATTAGCTTTCTTTTTTTCCCCTTTATTTTCACCTGGTGATACAGCCCTGAACACACGTCCGCTCTTAAGGTGTCTCCACTATAGATGGGGGGGAAGGGAGCCACCTTTGGAGAACAGCATTGTCAGTCTGGGGGAAGGGTAGTTTTATGTGCACTAGAAGACTTAGATGGACATCACTTCATAAGCAGTCACAGCAAATGTTTTTTTTCCTTTTGAGATAAAGGTTTTACATAAATTAGTAAAAGCTTCCCATTGTAAACACCCCTTTCAGTGGTAAATGGTTGGTCTCAACCCCTTTTTATAGTTTTATAGTTATCAGGAACATCAGCTGTCTGTATGATTTACAGTATGTATTTTATTAGTCATGTATATGATCATTTAGAATATAGGTGACATTTTATGGATGTTATTTTTATAATGCATATATTACAATGGTTGTAAGTGCACTACAAGTGGGTGGGTTTGTTGTGCTCCAAACAGAAAAGGGATTTGAAAGTTTTAGTGATATTTAAGTTGCTTAGTTGCTCAGTCTCGGTGGTTCCTGATAACATCCTCTAGGACGAAACGCATAGGGAAGAGCTAAGTGGATACTGATATTAATTGCTATCATCACTGGTTTTTGTTTTATCGCTATTATGATTGTATCTGGGTGGATGGAGCTTACCTTAACAGAGCCTTTATGTTAGGAATGGACTGGCCAGCAATGGTGGGACTCACCTGCCTTTTGATCTGCAGTACCAGGGCTGGCCAGCGGGTGCTCCCAGCAATCAGAGACTCAACCTTTCAGCCAGCTAACACCTGGAACTGATGATGCTGGGGTATTTAAGGGATGGCCAGACCCACAGACTCTGCCTTGGTGTTGTGTTTCTCTTGGGCCCTGTATCCTGTTCCTGCTCTCTGTTCCTGTCTGATTCTCTGCTACCTGTCCTGATCCCTGGCTTGTGACCCTGACCATTCCTCTGCTTGACCCTCTGTACTACGCTGCTTGCTACCTGCTGAACCTGGCCTGTGACCCCGACCATTCTCTGCTTGCTCCCCCTGTACCTACCTGCCCAATTGATATTGACCCGGCCTGCCTGACGACGCTTGCTTGTATATACTGTTATCTGTGGGTGGTTGGTTTGTTTGCACTGTGTTATGTTTTAGTATTGCACTGCGTTTATGTTTGTATTGTTAGTGTTAATAAATTGTATTGTTTATCACATATCTGAAGTCTGCGTTTCCCTGCATCAGTCACACACCTCTGGTCATACCTGGGAGCCCTGACATTACACCAAGGCCAATCCTGACCAGAAGTGGCTGCACAGGGAAGCCATCTTGGCTTGTTGATGGGAAGGATGGATCTGGATGAGGTTGAATATTTATATCTGCTAGTGTTTGATGACAGGGAGTATGCTTATCAGACTCTGAAGGAGTATACCCGGGATGAACTGCTAGAATGTATACGGCTCGCTCATGTTCTAGTAGATCAGGGCACAGAGTTCTCTGAGGTGCAGCCTTTGATTGAAGTTTGTGCTGAGTTGGTTTCATCTGGTTCCCCCGAATGCAGGGATGAATTTTTGCCCACCATTTAGTGCAGACCAGGTAGAGTCCCTGGTGTGGTTATTAGAGGATGATGTGGGTTACTTTCTGGAGCGTTATTCCACATGTTCACCCCAGACACTAAGAGATTGTATAAACGCAGTACAGTCATTGACCAGACAGGCTTTGTGTAAGCTCAGCTTTGTTCAACCCATACTGCAGACATGGACAGATTTGTTGCACCCAGCCTCAGTCAGCTTACAAAACCCAGTCCTGCTTCTAATCTATTTCCTCAAAACTCTATTCCTGCATTCCCAACAGCTCCTCCTGCCCTGCTATCTACCGCATGTCAGTACCCTGTTCCCACTCGCTGCACCTATCCTGCCTTTAACCCTGTAAAAGAGCCCTCTGTAGCAACCGCTCCCTCTCCTGTTCCATCCTCCAGTTCTTCTCTGTCTCCAGCTGCTCCATTCGTTTGCAGACCTGCGTTTACTTGCAGTGCTCCAGTAGTTAAAACCAGAAAAAAGCGAAAATTCTTTCCAACCAATACCATCCTGCCAGTATCCAAACCGGTGAGCCTGCCTTCCGTGGTTCAGCCTGAAGCCTCTCTTCAGCCTGATGCCGGTACGCAGCCTGATGCCTCTCTTCAGCCTGATGCCTCTACTCGGCCTAAAGCCTCTACTCGGCCTGAAGCCTCTACTTGGCCTGATGCCTCTACCCAGCATGATGAACTGATCCAGCCTGACGATCCTATAAGGCCAGTTGACTCGATGCCCGCTGTTGATCCAGATGATCCGGTACCTGATCCGGTGCCCGCTGTCGAGCCAAATGACCTGATGCCTGGTGACCCAGTGCCCGCTGTCATACCTGGTGACCCGATGCCCGCTGTCGAGCCAGACAATCCGGTACCTGATGACCCGGTGCTCACTGTCGTGCCTGTTGACTCGGAGCCCACTGCCTTGCCAGATGACGCGGTGCCCGCTGTCAAGCCAAATGACCTGATGCCTGGTGACCCAGTGCCCGCTGTCCAGCCAGACGATCCAAGGTCTGACCCAGTGCCCGCGGTCATACCAGTTGACTCGGAGCCCACTGCCTTGCCAGATGACGCGGTGCCCGCTGTCGAGCCAGACAATCCGGTACCTGATGACCCGGTGCTCACTGTCGTGCCTGTTGACTCGGAGCCCACTGCCTTGCCAGATGACGCGGTGCCCGCTGTCAAGCCAAATGACCTGATGCCTGGTGACCCAGTGCCCGCTGTCCAGCCAGACGATCCAATGTCTGACCCAGTGCCCGCGGTCATACCAGTTGACTCGGAGCCCACTGCCTTGCCAGATGACGCGGTGCCCGCTGTCGAGCCAAATGACCTGATGCCTGGTGACCCGATGCCCGCTGTCCAGCCAGACGATCCAATGTCTGACCCAGTGCCAGCGGTCATCCCAGTTGACTCGGAGCCCACGGTTGTGCCTGGTGACTCGGTGCCCGCCGCCCCCGCCTGGGGGCCTGAGACCTGTCGTTCCGCCTGGGGGTCCGGCACCCGCCACTCCGCCTGAGGGTCCGAGACCTGTCGCTCCTCCTGGGGGTCCGGCGCCCGCCGCTCCGCCTGAGGGCCCGAGACCTGTCGCTCCGCCTGGGGGTCCGGCGCCCGCCGCTCCGCCTGAGGGCCCGAGACCTGTCGCTCCACCTGGGGGTCCGGCGCCCGCGCCGCTCCGCCTGAGGGCCCGAGACCTGTCGCTCCATCTGGGGGTCCGGCGCCCGCCGCTCCGCCTGAGGGTCCGAGACCTGTCGCTCCGCCTGGGGGTCCGGCGCCCGCCGCTCCGCTTGAGGGCCCGAGACCTGTCGCTCCTCCTGGGGGTCCGGCGCCCGCCGCTCCGCCTGAGGGCCCGAGACCTGTCGCTCCGCCTGGGGGTCCGGCGCCCGCCGCTCCGCCTGAGGGCCCGAGACCTGTCGCTCCACCTGGGGGTCCGGCGCCCGCCGCTCCGCCTGAGGGCCCGAGACCTGTCGCTCCATCTGGGGGTCCGGCGCCCGCCGCTCCGCCTGAGGGCCCGAGACCTGTCGCTCCTCCTGGGGGTCCGGCGCCCGCCGCTCCGTACTGAGGGCCCGAGACCTGTCGCTCCGCCTGGGGGTCCGGCGCCCGCCGCCCCGCGCCTGGGGGCACGATGCCCGTCCCCCCGCCTGGGGGCACGATGCCTGTCGCCCCGCCTGGGGGCACGATGCCTGTCGCCCCGCCTGGGGGCACGATGCCTGTCGCCCCGCCTGGGGGCACGATGCCTGTCGCCCCGATGCCTGTCGCCCCGCCTGGGGGCACGATGCCTGTCGCCCGATGCCTGTCGCCCCGCCTGGGGGCACGATGCCTGTCGCCCCGCCTGGGGGCACGATGCCTGTCGCCCCGATGCCTGTCGCCCCGCCTGGGGGCCCGATGCCTGTCGCCCCGCTTGGGGGCCCGATGCCTGTCGCCCCGCTTGGGGGCCCGATGCCTGTCGCCCCGCCTGGGGGCCCGATGCCTGTCGCCCCGCCTGGGGGCCCGGCGCCCCACCTGGGGGCCCGACGCCTGCTGCTCCGCCCGGGGGCCCGGTGCCTGCTGCTCCGCCCGGGGGCCCGGTGCCTGCTGCTCCGCCCGGGGGCCCGGTGCCTGCTGCTCCGCCCGGGGGCCCGGTGCCTGCTGCTCCGCCCGGGGGCCGCTGCCTGCTGCTTCGCCTGGTAAACCGATGTGCCTCTGCCCGGAGTCCTGCCCGATGTGCCTCTGCCCGGAGTGCTGCCCGATGTGCCTCTGCCCGGAGTCCTGCCCGATGTGCCTCTGCCCGGAGTCCTGCCCGATGTGCCTCTGCCCGATGTGCCTCTGCCCGATGTGCCTCTGCCTGGTGTGCCTCTGCTCGATGTGCCTCTGCCCGGTGTGCCTCTGCTCGATGTGCCTCTGCCGGAGTCCTGCCCGATGTGCCTCTGCCCGATGTGCCTCTGCCCGATGTGCCTCTGCCCGATGTGCCTCTGCCCGGTGTGCCTCTGCTCGATGTGCCTCTGCCCGGAGTCCAGCCCGATGTGCCTCTGCCCGGAGTCCTGCCCGATGTGCCTCTGCCCGGAGTCCTGCCCGATGTGCCTCTGCCCGATGTGCCTCTGCCTGATGTGCCTCTGCCTGGTGTGCCTCTGCTCGATGTGCCTCTGCCTGGTGTGCCTCTGCTCGATGTGCCTCTGCCCGGTGTGCCTCTGCTCGATGTGCCTCTGCCCGGAGTCCTGCCCGATGTGCCTCTGCCCGATGTGCCTCTGCCCGATGTGCCTCTGCCCGGTGTGCCTCTGCTCGATGTGCCTCTGCCCGGAGTCCAGCCCGGTGTGCCTCTGCCCGGAGTCCAGCCCGGTGTGCCGCTGCCCGGAGTCCTGCCCGGTGTGCCAGTCTTTGATATCCCGCCAGTTACCAGACCCGGGCGGTGGAACATTTTGCCCAGCTAGGACTGTTTGGAGCGTCCTGAGGCCGCTCCTTGGGGGGGGGGGGTACTGTTAGGAATGGACTGGCCAGCAATGGTGGGACTCACCTGCCTTTTGATCTGCAGTACCAGGGCTGGCCAGCGGGTGCTCCCAGCAATCAGAGACTCAACCTTTCAGCCAGCTAACACCTGGAACTGATGATGCTGGGGTATTTAAGGGATGGCCAGACCCACAGACTCTGCCTTGGTGTTGTGTTTCTCTTGGGCCCTGTATCCTGTTCCTGCTCTCTGTTCCTGTCTGATTCTCTGCTACCTGTCCTGATCCCTGGCTTGTGACCCTGACCATTCCTCTGCTTGACCCTCTGTACTACGCTGCTTGCTACCTGCTGAACCTGGCCTGTGACCCCGACCATTCTCTCTGCTTGCTCCCCCTGTACCTACCTGCCCAATTGATATTGACCCGGCCTGCCTGACGACGCTTGCTTGTATATACTGTTATCTGTGGGTGGTTGGTTTGGTTTGTTTGCACTGTGTTATGTTTTAGTATTGCACTGCGTTTATGTTTGTATTGTTAGTGTTAATAAATTGTATTGTTTATCACATATCTGAAGTCTGCTGCGTTTCCCTGCATCAGTCACACACCTCTGGTCATACCTGGGAGCCCTGACACTTTATAGGAGATTATAGTCTTTTCTGTGATTTTCCTTCAATTGCTTTTCTAATTGGTACAGCAGGATTCCACGGTGGGGAGCTTGTTTGACCCTTAAATCCATATGATTTTATTTTAATAAAGCACATATAGACCTCTTTTATTTAGGAGTTCTAACTATCTTGTGAGTCACCCACTTTTGACTTTTGGGTGGAGCTCACGATGCTTGCTCTTTATCCTTACGGAGGTGTAGGCAAGTATATTAGAATTGATTTGGGTCAATTATATTTGCTTTTTTTTTGCATTAATACATTTGTAAGCTGTTATGTTTTATCTATCTTTTTTACCATACGCATACAGTCATATTTTCCAATAAACATTTGATGCGTGACAAAGGTTTCCCAGAGCACAACAGTGTAGCATTAATAATCTGCTTTCACCCATCTGATAAGGGAGGTGTCACGTCATTTAGTTCCGTGTATAAATTTCACCTTCACCTACTGAACTCCATTACTATTATTATAATGCAGGATTTATATAGCACCAACAGTTTACACAGCGTTTTACAACATAAGGGCTTAGATTGTACACCCCTTGAGGGTTAGGGCCTGATGTGAATGTACAATATATATGTAAAGTGCTGTATAAATTGGCGGGCTCTATATACAAAGTACCTGTAATAAATAAATAATAGGGGCAGGCAGTACAATTACAATACAAATTAATACAAGAGGATTCAGAGGGCCCTGCTCATTAGAGCTTACATCTCCATAAACATCAGGCTTTTTTTTTTTAACAGAAAAGTAAATTGTTAGAGAGAAATGTGTAAAAAGAAATCTAAAGCCCCACCTGCTGGCTCATAAAAGTGATAAAAAAAATGTGCAGCATGTTATATCTGTCTGACTTAAAAAAGTAAAACTTTTCTTTTTTTTTTAGTCCCTACCATGATAAATTAAAAATATATGTGCAATGTTACTATTCATCCCCTTTATTGGTGTTTCACAAATATTCTAAGGTAGGTGTCTAGTAATCGAAGATGCTCCAGAAGTCAGCAATACAGGATTTTTTTTTTTCCTGGGGGCAAAGGGGAAAAAATCAGATTAAGAATACAAAAACGACAACGACACTCATAAATCAAACACACTTGCAGAATTTATTTCAGTTACAGCTTTGTCTTACACATTAGACAAGTCATAATTACACTTCAGTACACAGTGTGAGCGGGAGAATGAGCTCTAGCACAATGCACAATAGACCTTGTCATACGGCAGCAAACAGGATAAAACAACAGTAGCAATACTCAATTTTGCATCACAGTATAGAATTACACCGTGACATACTGTAATATTACCATCAATCATGATCCCATCCAAAACTGGCAGCTCAAGTAGATGGAAAATTACTCTAAAGGAGTTTTGTGCTGCTCCGTGCACTGATAACATCGCAGAGAGCCGCGCACAGCACACAATCAGGTGTACAAGACAAGTGTTTTATTGAGAACAAATTGGCTGGCAGAAATTTATCTCAGGCTTTTCTCACATTCGCTCTTAAGTTGAAAAAATGTGAGGTTTCGGCATAAATGTATTGTGTGGTGTTCCTGTGTCCACATTTATAAAGAAGCAAATGATCAATTAGCTGTTTATTAGCTGCTTTTTCGCAACCGAGAACTCATTGATAGCATGTATAACGCACAATCATCTCAGTCTCTGCAGCATTGGTGTATTTATACTGCTGTATATCCAGGGTTACATTTGTTAGCACTGTTCCTTTTTATTTCCCTGGCTTGTGATATTATATATTCATTGCACAGTCCATGCGCCACAAGTGCATTTGTTTTAGCCAGGGGCGAGATACGGTGGCTGTAATTAATTTTATTTGGATTGTGCTGATAAATTCTTTTTTGGACTCTGAAATAATGGTGTTTATCAACAAACATTTTTGTTTGTTGATAAACAAGCAGTATGCGCTTTCCTATGAAAAGAGTAATATTCTCAATATTATAATATGAAGATTATACTAAACATAATGCAAGCATGAGCATAACTTTTTTTTGTATTACATAGGTCATTTAAATTTCACTTGTTGGTAGAGTAACTCTTCCTCTATAGCAGAGGTCTCCAAACTGTGGCCCGGGGGCCGGATGCGGCCCTTTGCCAGCCTTTAACTGGCCCTTGGGGCACTATTTCTCTGAATGATACAAGGCACTATTCCTCCCACTGATACCAACAATGGTGCACTATTTCTTCCACTGATACAAACGATTGGTTACTATTCCTTCCACTATTACTAATGATGGGGCAATACTCTTCCTTTACTGACCACCAACCCTGAGGCCATG